GGGGAGGGGAGAGGTGGGGAGGGGGGAGGGTGGATGATGGGAAAGGCAGCGGAGCACAACAGACACTAGTATGGCAATTTGTAAATCAGTGGATGTGTAACTGATGTGAATCTGCAATCTGTATATGGGGTGAAGGTGGGAGTTCATAACCCACTAGAATCAAAGTGTGGAATATGATATGTCAAGAAATTTGTAATGTTTTGAACAACCCACAATAAAAAATTAAAAAAAAAAATAAATAAAAAAATTAAACCACACACCAGTGATTTTGGTGCAAGCATATTTTTAAAAATCCACTTTATGGAGATCTTTCTACCAGCTCCCTTAATGGCAGACTAAGCTGCAATGGGTTTGCCATGCCTGGTCCTGATGGACCCATTCTGGAGGGAGCAGCTGGCTCTCACAAACCCGACTCACATTTCCTCAGAAGCCACTGACCACAGTCCAGCAGCCTAAATGCAATATTCAACTCCTATAATGAATTAACTAAACTGAGTGTTCTTCTAGGACTTCTTCAGCCACCTTGGCCTTCTCTTAACAGTTCATCTAGTACTTTAGTCTTACAGCATGTGGACTCCAGGGTATATCTTGCAAGTTACTTTTACAATCCTTGTGAATATATGAACCTTCCTTTTACTCTTGGTTTTTCCAGAGGAATCTGTTCAATAGCAGAACCTGCTTAGTCATGTTACCAGTAGTCACTGCTTTTATTCTAGAAGGCCATTTTTTTCATCATGGTCTGCAGATAAGAACAAATCACACTTATACTGCAGAGCAGTATGACCCCCTCACACATCAGCCTCTCATGGGCACAGATCTGCCACTCTCGGCTTGTGTTGGTTTTCCAGCTCTCAGTCGTCTTATGTATGTGGGGTCCTCACACAGCATCCTGGTGAGGGTCACATTCAAGTGTCCCAATTGGTCTTTGTAAACTAAAGAACTCTGCATAAAATGTAGAGCTATGTAAAAAGCTAAATGATTTAACACTAGCAAAACTGCCCTTCAACTTGAAAAATACATGCAGTACAATATATTTAGGCATATTTAAAGTACTATTCCTAAAAACAGCAATTAAGGAAATCTTAATTCAAAGAATAGTACAGTAGTGAGGATGTTGGGCACAGTGGCTGTTGGTGGATGAGGTCATTTTGATTAAAGATCTCTAGCCCCAGGACATAACTGTTTGAGTTGGTAAAATAATGAGTCTCACTAACATCGTGAGTCAGTGGATAGCATATGGACAGGTCAGGCAGGCTTGGTTTTAAAATCTGACTCTGCTTCCTATTACTAGTTGTGACTTGAGGAGTTAAAAGCAAATTTCCTCTACATAATTTTTGGTCTGTTTAAAGCTAGGAAACCTCATTTACCAATGCTGTGAAGTGGATGTCAAAGCCTGACCAATAGAGTCCCCCACATGCTCACCCACCTCTCAAGGGAAGTCACTGCGAATCTCTGAGCAAGCCTTTTCATCATTGTGACCAGAAAGCCTGATAAGAACAGTGTAGAGGAGGAAAAGTTCTCTTGGGGCTCATGGCTTCCGAGGTTCAGTTCTGTCAACACATAACTCTGAGCCCGAGGTGAGGAAGGACCTCATGGCAGAAGGCTGTGTGGAGATTTCAACACTCACAATCTAATCATTTCACCTTTAAGAATTCCTGCATGGTCTTCTACATGACCCTTTGTGGGACACTTCATATCTCAACCATAACACAGAGGTACTCAGGAAACGGTTGCTCTTATCCTTAAGAACCTGACACTCTGAACCTATTCCCCTGTCTGCATATGCCTATAATCAGTGTGACAGTGACATCAGACGGCAGGGCCAGGCAGTCTCTGCTCTCTGAACCCTCTTACTTGTCTCTGTTATCCGTTCCTATCTCCATGAATGGAAGGACTGATTCTTTACTGCTCAGAACACTTTGGGTCATAAGATACAGAAACCTCAATCACACTGGTTTAAAAGTAATGAGCAGGAAAGAGTTGGCCTGAAGGTCAAGGCCATCCTTTCTCGTCTTTGTGCTCTCCCTGGTCTGGATGGGCTTTGGTAGACTCCCTCCACGTTGCCCTCAGCAGCAGCAGGCTTGCCTTGCTCCAGCTAGCCACCCAGCAGAAAGGGGGTCTTCTCAATACCTGTCCCATGGCTCAAGGTGACCCCCTCACCTATGTAGGGTCAATCTCTGAATCAAATGTAAGGGTCAGAAGTTTCCTTCTCAAACTGGAGGGAAGGGATCAAACACTTGAAACTACACAGGCTGAAAGTGGGAGAAGGTAGTTTTCATAGGAAAATCAGCAATGTTAACAGAAAAAGAGAGAATGACTGATGGGCAGGCAGAACAGCAGGTGTCCAGTGTATTGGGAATTATACCTTCTACCAGACTGATAAATAAATAATGGCCAGAGTCACTCTGAGTGACAGCATTCTTGCTCTGCAGAGACTGTAAATCTGGATAAAATAAGCAATCCTTTGGTGAGCTGATGGAAGAATCCATCTTCCCTCACTTCACCAGCTCAGTAACAGCACAGGCACCTGAATTGGGGATTTTTCTGGCTGCACTGCAGCATCTATTGAAACCATCAATGACACTGGGCTTCCTGACTGCAGAGGTGATTGACATTCCTGCTTGAGCAGTGCCTTTCTCATAAAGTTCTTAAAGTATGTCCAGGCAAGGGATCTTTGAAATTTTGTTTTATATTTTTTTTCATTCAACTAACAAACACTCCAAAAAATATTTAAATGCAATTCCTTGAGGAGACAGCATTGGTCAAACACTAGTATTTGTAGCTAACTTCTGGAATTTGATCATGGGAAAGATATGGAATTAAATAAGATCTAGGAAGCAGAAGGAACCTGAATAAGAATGCTTTGTGTGTTGCATACTGAAATATTTTTCACAAGGAGGAGCACAGAAAGCAAGTAGTTCTTGTTACTGTGTGGTTACGTCTCCTAAAATGATAATTTAGCAATTTAACAACAACAACAACTGTATATATGTGTGTGTGTGTGTGTGTGTGTGTGTATACTTACAATACAGTATTTAAAAAATATGCATAACTCCATACAAAAGTGAAATATTTGAACTGAAACTCTCCAAAAAGAAACTGCATACATGCCCACTAAACACCTGAAAAGTGCCCCAAACACCTGGGGGGTGGGTGGCATGCCTATAATTCCAGCAATTTAGAGGCTGAGGCAGGATGATTGCAAGTTTTAGGTCAGTCTCAGCAACTTAGCAAAACAGTGTCTCAAAATAACAATATTTTTTAAATTTTTTGATTTCTTTTTTAATTTATTTCTTACATACATGACAATAGAGGAGTGCATTACATTCATGATTATCCATTCACAGCACAATTTTTTTGTAATTCTGTATATAAAGTATGTTCATGCCAAATTATGCCATTATACATGAGCGCTCTTATTTTTTTGCATGCAATTCTTTTTTTTTTTTTTTTTGGAAAGGTTCAGTTCGGTTTATTATAGTGTCAAGTAGATTTACAACTATTGCACTTATTATTCTGCTTACAGAAGGCCAACATTAAGGGGGATATTTTTCTCCAAAAGAGATAAGTTTTCAGAATCTTCAATATGTTAAAATTACACAGGCAAAGATAGAAACCTCATGTCCCGTTCCCTAGCCCTGCCCCCTTCCTGCTGTTGTACAGCTTGCTGCCAATGAGAATTTTAGTTTGGATAATGGTTTAAAAGTCATCCCTTTCTCATTAAATGACCTTTGAGTGAAATTGGACAAGAATTCTCTTTATACTCTCTTCCTAACCCCAAACATAGAAAACACAGCTCCCATACTCCAAAATCAAATGTAACCAATAAACCGTGGAGGTGAACTTTACTCAAAGACAAAGTAAATATTACTTCCTTCCAGACTCCACTTGGCATTCAGGTCAAGTGCAATCACTGGCTGCCCAGCTTTTAGGCAATGGGAGAAAACAACAGAGGCTCAAAAGTGGTCCAGCATATAAAATTCTTCTCAAAAACAGAAGAAAGTCATGAACATTGTTGTGAAAATGTTTTACATTTTCAAGAAATTCTATTCTACTGATGTGTTTGGAAGATTGTCTTCAACCTATTTGGCTTTAGCCCATCAGCTGTAACTGATTCAGTCATGTGAAGAACCACTTTTATCTTAAGCTTTGCAATGTATAACATTGGATGAAAGGAAAGTGGTTTTTTTATTTACTCTAATAATTGTGCTGATAAGAGCTGGTGGGGGCGTGGCTGGTGGAAAGTACCAGCCTTCAGTTCTCTTAAATTATTTTTCATTCTGATTATATTGCGAATAAATGAGTGGTGGGGGTTGGCACTCTTTTTCATCTTAACAGTTGCTCTGCATTCAAAGATGCTCTATGTGATTCATAATGTCCTACCATAACAAGACGCAGCTTTTATATATTACTGGGGTAATGCAAAGAAAATGAATTTTCCTTTGGGTACCAGTAATTGTCAAAGGAATGATTGAAGATTCAGAGAATGTGCTTTATAATAACCCTGTTAACGTAAAGCATAGACTGAGCAAAGAAAAACCATGGCATGTGTGTGGAAGAGTCAGCTGCATTAGCAAGGCATCTTGGGGATGGTTTTGGCTTTTTTGACTAAGATACATCCAATTTTGACCCCCTTCAGCTCCTTGGACCAAGAGGAAACAGTTACATAGGAGCATTTGCTGAGTGTGAGCTGACTTTGCCATGTGCTTAGAAATGCTCCAACTAGTTAATAAACTCTCTCTCTCTGCCCTGGTACTAAGGCTAATGTGCTCAGGCTGTTAGAAATAATTTGAATATCAAAAATGAAATTGAGATTACCAACCATGTCCTGATAGTTACAGCATATAGAATGTCAAACGTCCTCTTTTTAAACTAAAGTAAAAATGAAGAAGCATGGTTAATTCATTTGTGCTGATTAAAACACACCGCCAAGTACAACTTGGGTTTGCAGCCACTCCATGAGGCTGAGTCACAGACACTCTCCCTGGGGGAAGGGGGGGACATGTGTATCTGCCTTGCTAATCCCTCCAGGTGTCTTCCTAGCCCATGTGCACACTCCCACTGTGAAGGAAAGCTAGCTACAAAATCTAGAAGTTTTCTGCTTTCAGAAAATTCTAGTGTATCGTGTACACCTCAGGTATTTCTCTTTCTGCTTAAAAAAATAGTGCAAAAACATCTGATAGTCAAAATGATAGTTCAAGCAAGTTTTCGTGCCAGGGAACAGTGGAGCTTCACCTTTAGCTGACTTGTAGAATGTGAACATAGTTTTTGGGAAATATTCCAGATTTTCCCATTAGTTCTCCACTCATCCAGTCGTCATCTACAGATTCCAGCTCTGTTATTATATCCCCAGCCTTGAAGGAGAGCTCGTCTTCATTCTCCCCCTGGAAATCATACAAGGCTTTGGCCTTTCTCCCCTTCAGTGATATGGCAGACATACTTTTTGCCTCAGCTGGACAGGGCTGCACAAAAACTGCTGGGAAGATCCCCTGTCTGTCGTTCAGTCTGCCCCGATACCAGTCGGAGTCCAGACGCTTGAGGATCAGGATCCGGTCCCCCCTCTTGAAGGATAAGTCCTCACTGGTTTCTGCTGTAAAACTGTGGAGAGCTCTGCACCATTCTCCAGAAAGGCTGTTGTCCTGAGAATGTGAGCCAGAATCTTCTTTTTTGGTCTTTGGTGGTATCTTTGTTCTTAAAACATTTGCACCAGAGGTGGAATAATCCTCAACAAGTTCCACGAAGTTAAGGGGGAAGATCCCAGTTCTGTCTTGAAGCTCTCCTCTTGCCCATTCCTCATTCATGTACTCTTTAAGAATAATCATTTCTCCCTCTGAGAAACTTAACTCATCCTTCTGGTCTCCAATATATTCAAACCGAGCAACACATCTTGTATTTTTAACACAATGAGATGAAACAGATTCTCTTTTCCCATTTTCTCCTTTTGAAATATCAACGATTACTTTGACATAGTTGGCAGGAAATACGCCAGTCTGGCTTCTGCATTTCCCTCTGTACCAATCTGTGTCTATTTTTTCAAGAAGATAAACAATTTCTCCAGATGTGAGATTCAAATCGTCATCTTGCTCTGCTGCAAAATCATGAAGAACAACAGCGTGAGGAGCACTACTGTCCACAGGTTTCTGAGCAGGGCTTGGATCCTTATGAGAGAGTTCTCCAGGGTTTTGTGGGACAATGTCTTCATTGGCAATTCCATGAGGCACAGACAGCATGTATTTTCTGTACAGAGGATGTCCTGGTTTGGGACGAGCGGGTAGCACCGGATCTTGACTTTTAAAGATATGACTCTTGGCTTTTGAGAGCCCAGATGCCAAGTGACTTTGTTTTTTCTGAAGATCCATGTCAGAAGAGGACCGACTAAAAGGCAGTTTTTTATTTGATGTTCGGGTTGCAGGAAGTTTTGGAGGAGGTGGCCTCTCGGGGGCTCCTTTGGGAGGAGGCCGTCTAGCTGGAGTAGGTTTTTTATTAATGGGTCTTGGTGGCAACCTTGGGGGTCCTCACACAAAACCTCCGGTCTCACCAGCTTGGTTGGATTCCAAGTTTCTAGATCTGTCAGTATTACTGGGCTTTCCAGGTACTGTGCTGTACGTGTTTCCAATAGGTTTTTCAGCTGGGAGTGGAGGTGGGCTTTGCGGATCCTCATGTAAACATTTTCCTGGTTTGGCTGGAATTCGAATTACAGTGGGCTTCCTGGCGGCTGCTGGTTGAATTGCTCTTTCTTTTGTTGGTTCAGTTTTTGTGGGGAGCTGAAAGGGATCTAGAAGCAGCTCTGAACTGAGGGATTCTTCAGCCAGGCTCCCAGGGGAGGTGGGCAAAACATCATCATCAAAGCTGATGAGGTCAGTGTCCCCCAGGGACTTGCTTTGCAGAGCTGGAACTGGGGGGTTGGCCGCGGGCCCTTCTCCCAGTGACCTGAATGCTTTGGCTTGTGATGCCACTGAGAGCCGGGGAGGAACAGGGGCTGATTTCGTTGGAGCCGAAGGGCAGCTGGGGTTTTCTGAGGAAACCGATTTCTTCGTGGGCAAGGGCCGAGGGGCAGGAGTGGGGACTTTCTTCCCAGCATCAGGGCTGTCGGCCATGGGCCCTCCTCCCGGAATCTCGTGGTTAGCACTTCGGGTAAGGCCAGGAGTTGGTTTCTTTGACAATTCGGGTTTGGTTACTGGCACACTGCCTGGTTATGGAGGTGAAGAGAACGGGGTGAGCCCTTCCCTGGAGGTCACTTTGAGTCTGTTTTCAGCCCAAGCGTCCCATTCTCCAGAAGCTCTGTTAGCGGCTGGTTTGGGAGCCACAGAAGGTTTCCCTGAGGAAACAGCAGGCTTTGGGGGCAGTGTGCGGGGGATGATCTCTGGTTTCTTGGGCGGTCCCGGGGTTTCTGCGTTTGTCTGACCCTCAAATGCTTTGATCCTTGAAACAATGCTATTTTGGCTTTGCTCTGAGTTCATCGTGTCCATCCTTGGCAGACTTTCTAAGTTGCTGGTATTGTCCAACAGACACTGGGGCCAGCCTGGGGATGGCTCCTCTTCTGGGACCGCTGGGCTGATTTTCTGGGCAGTTTTAGCTACTGGTCTGAGGTTGCTTTTCCATCTTGGTTTTGGCACTGGACATCTTGGAGCACTGGGGTTTTCTGGACAACTTGCTTCTTCAGAAACATCAAAGACTATTAAAGGAGCCACACTGGTGGGGACATCGCCGGGTGAGGCTGCTGGAGAAGGCTGAAGAGGCTTGAGAGGCTCCGGCAGTGTTTGAGGCAGATTGCTGTCTATATCTTCTGAAAAGTCAGTCTGAGTTGCAGAAGTGATAGTGTGCATTGGAGTGGCAGCAGCATTATTATTATTTGTAGTGTTAACTTGAACTTGGTTGATTTCTTTTATGACTTGTTCATAAGAAGGCGGGAGCTCAGCAGAAACCAGCTCATTCGGCCTCCACGGGCCGGGGGCAGGAGTTGGAGGAAATCCCAGTCCTGGAGGTGGGGCTCCTGGAAACCAGGAGGCTGGCCTCAGAGGCTCAGCTGCCACAATGGTGATCTCTGGGCGCCTCCTAGCTCGATGAAGTTCACTCTGAATAGAAGTCCGAGAAGATCTCTTGATTACGGCTCTAATGGATGACAAGGGTCCTTGGCTGGCAGAACGGTGCTCTGGTTTATTTCGTTCGTTGCTATCTGCGGCCAGGTGGCCCGAGAGCGCACGGCCCCGGGCGCAGCGCGTGCCCCCAACCTCGCGGCGCTCGCGCAGCTCTTACTCCTTGTCCTCCCGCCGCCGGCACTCAGCCATGGGCGAGACGCGCGCAGCCGGGGACGGCGGGCGAGAAGCGGCCCCGGCGCCCGGTCCGCTGGCACCAGGTGCCCCTGGCCGGCGCCCTCTGGGTAGGAAAGCGGCCCCCGGAGAGGAGGTGGGGGCGGCGGCTGAAGGAACCGCCACCTCTGCGAACTCCACCTGCAGCCGGAGGGGGAGCTGCCAGGCGCGGGCCGAGCCGAGTTCCCCGCCTCCTCGCCGCACACCGGCGGCCTCCTCCCTCCTGCTCCCACTCGCGTACAATCTTAATACACCTTTATACCACCATTTATCATATCTGTTTGTAACAATTAAAAATAAAGAGTAGGGCTGCAGCTCAGAGGTAAAGAACTCCCAGTACCAAAACGAACAGCAAATGTCCCAGGTCATTACTAATCGGGAAAATGAATACCAAACCACAATGAAATGTACACTATTGGAACGCCTAAAGGAATAATGCTTTACAGCAGAGGAAGTTCACCAGGATGTGGAGCAAATGGGGCATTTGTCTGTTGTAGGTGGTGCATATGGCTACACCCCTTTGAGGAAAGGCCTGGCAGCTTCTCATAAATTAAATGCATAACTAACCTGCTCGCTAGAAACTTAAGTCTTAGATATTTACAGAAGAGAAAGAAATCACACACACACACACACACACACACACACACAACTTGTTGAAAAGTGTTATAACAACTCCATCCGTAAGAGCAAAATCTGGAAAGGATACAATCCCCACCCACAGGGGAATGAGTGCTGGGGTTGGTCCCATGCAGCACTGAAGGGTAACAAAGGAGGCACCGCCACCCCTCAGCAGAACAGCTGGATTTCCACCATTCACCACTTGGGTGATCTTCCCATGGTGATGAGTGACAGTGGATTGAAAATTTACAAACCTACCAATCCTGTCCTTGGGAATTCTGAATATTCCTTAATTGCTCCTGCTTCCTGTGGCTTCAGGTTTTTGCCTTTTAAAACATTTGTGCAATTAAACACTGAGGATGATCTCTGGCTATAGTCTAGTTTCATGTTTTTCCCAATAACTAACTAATTTTAGCATTCTCATGGAGTGACTTTTACCGTGTGTGTGTGTGTGTGTGAGAGAGAGAGAGAGAGAGAGAGAGAGAGAGAGAGAGAGAGAATTCTCACATACTCTTTGTTGTTCTTGTCGGTTCTGTTTTATTCATGGTCTTTTTTGTGTAACTTTAGTTTTTAACTGTGGCACTTTCTTGATAATTTAGCAATAGATGTACCATCTTTAACTTCTTTCAAAACAATACTATACTTTGTTAGTGACATTCTTTCATATATATTTAGTGTAACTTCTACTTACCACTTTTTAGAAGGTGTCAGTTTTTTCTAAAGCTGTTGCTAGAGAAAGATTATACAATATAATAAATTGATCCTAGTTTTTTTAACTCACTGAAGTTATATATACATCACAAATTTTGTCTTATAGTTATTTAATAATACAACAGTTTAATAGAATGTCATTTATTTATATTCTCACTATAACGTGCAGAATGTTTTCTAGTTGGAGTGGAGAATATCAAGATTCTAATTCTCCAATAGCTTTGAGGACAAGAGAAGTTACTTTGATTTTAAGGCTGAAGAAGGGCCTTAGGGTCATCTCATTCAAATCCTGATTTTCTTGATGGGGAAGGAGAGATCCAGACAGGAATTGACAGCTACCAGTTGGGCCTCTCTGCTGGGTGGGTCCAGGGAGAACAGTGTCATAGCCTCCTCAGAATTCTCTGTACCCACCAGGCTTTTTCCAAGAAATGAAAAGGTTTCCCTGAGCTTCGGTGCCCAGGTTTGCATCTGAAATCCCCTAGAGAAAGGGTGAGGGGAGGGCCTAGCCACCCAACAGGGCAATCAGAATGCAAACAGGCCTGATCTTCCAAAGGAAGGACTTTAAAGGGATTATGTGGCCATTAAGCACATCTTGTGCTAACCTGGCCGACCCACAGGGCTCAGTGTCCCTGCAGGGCACACTTACTACCCACTGCATCCAATGAGGACCAGCGCGACTGACCTGGGACTCCTTGGCCATCTAGTACACACTTCAGCATCTTAAAATGCACTTTGAATACATTTGACAAACAATTGCTCAGGATGCAAACTTCTAAATCTCCAAGGCAGTGCCACGGAGGGGATATTCTCCATCAAAGAAAGTGCAAGCATGTGGAGGGGAGGGGCATGGTGCCCTGGGGGAAAATCACGGCATCACAGAGAGGGCTTTGTCACACAGGAAGATCTGCGGCTTCAAAATGCAAGACTTTAATGTGCAGCTTACAACGTTCAGATGCACCATACTAAATGGAGAAATGCGGTTCCTTTTGTTGGAGAGTTTCTTCCTACTGTTACAAATCAAACCACTTTTGCTCTTAAAATCACAAATGCTTTCCTACACATAGTTTTATTTATATTTATTTATATTTCATTTTATAACTATCACAATAAGTACATATATACCAACAATAATATAGGCAACCGCTTACTTTGCCTTAAAATCTTCTTATTTTTGCAATCTAACTTGTTCTATACTTTGCACAGCAATTACTGTGATCTTAATTTTAAAGGTGACAGCATATCAGACCTTGTTTGCCTTAGAAGATTTGGCCTATAGTTTACCTCTGATCTGTTTGGAATACAAGAGAAAATTTTAATTTTAAAATTTTAATTTAAAAAATTTCAAAATGTCCATGGAGTCATGAGGCTGGAGTAGAAACACAGATGCATCTGGGTGGCAGTAGTCATGAAGCTGCAGAAGTGGTGCACCTTTAATGGTGACAGAATATTAGGGAAAACTAACTCCAAATTTTGTTTCATGTCCGTTTTACTCTCCAGCCCTCAGGCTGACTCTGAAAAATTGTTGTAATAGGTAGAAAACTAGACAGAAAGAGAAACTGAATTCATAAATCCAGAATTACTCTATGACCCCAAGAAAGACCCAGCTTCACCCTCAGAGATTCTAGATGAATTCAGGATTTGCTCTGCATTATCTTCAGGATGAAAGGTCTGCGAAGATCTGTATAGTTTTCATGGTCACCAGATTTTAGATTATGTGTGAAATAAAAAGCACAATGTGAAAAGGTTGCTGTCTATATAAAGCCCTGCAATTGTATACATATATGTATACATGTATATATATGATACGCACACAATCCTATGTATGTAACTAGATTATGCACACATTTAAGTATGCATATGGTGTGTGAGTGTGCGTGTGTGAGAATGCCGTCATACTCAGCTGGGTGGAGAGTGTTGGTGGATACGTAGGTGAAGGTTTCCAGGACTTTGTTGCTATAGATTCACAGGGTTTCAGGCTAACTTCTTTTATTAGGTGTAATCATGATCCTCAGATCTTTTATGCATGAACCCACAGAAATGAGCTCTTGGCAGCTGTTAACTAAACTGCAGAACTGCTCAGGTCACACAAAGGGGGACACACACATGGCCAGCTGACCCAGGAGTACAGGAGACCTAGAACAAGCCTTTGACTAGGAGAGGAACCTGGGCCTGTGGTCAGGAGCATGGGACTCTCAAGTCAGGGTCTTCAGCAGGTTACCTTGTGACTATGAGCATGTGGTATGTAATGGTGGTGCTCCAGAAATAAACACACAAACATAATGAAACGTACCCATTGTTTTAAAGAAAACTCAAGAAGAATAAGGAGAGGAATGAGTGGAATATAAATTTGTACTTATAATATATTCTTGGATTGAGTGTCTAATATGGACCTAGCACATTAGCTTGACATGGTAAAGTGGAATGCAATGCAAGGTTTCTATAATATGAACCCTTACATTCTGTAGGTTTTATAATATCTACCAGTATGTGCAAATATTTAAGTCCATTTATACAATGGTCACATGGCTCTAAATTAGATTACACTACTTGTAATAATATTTAAAAATGGAGCAAATACATTAACACCATGTGAAATAGAGCACAGGTACCAATTCCTACATATATCTTATATTTTAGATGATAAGGACATCTATCTTTACCTAGTATTCCACAAATGGAAGAAGTGAGGATGAAATTGAATAGCCATTTAGGATGTGCATGATTGAAGGTGTCAAAGCCAGAGGCTGAACCTGAGTTTTTTCTCCCACTTACAAGAGTCTCTGTACTATGTAACATTTCCTTTCAGGAGCAAAATATAACACAGTTTGACTTCTTTCATGCACCAATAGCAACTAAATGTCTTGTTGTTGGCTTAAAGGCAAACTAAGATACATTAAAATATGGTTGCTGACATATATGTACACACACACACACACACACACACATATTTGCTGAAGGTCTGGGAATAGAATTCAATGGTAGAGTGCTTGCCCAGCTTGTGTGAGGTGCTGGGTTCCATACCTTTCACTGAAAAATCAAAAATTACATATATGTTTATATAAATATAGATAGATATTATATATTTAATATATAATATATTATATATATAAATTTATACATATACATACACACAGGTAGTTATATACTTGTGGTGTCACTGAGGTTCTGATTTCTATAGAACTAAGTTGGTCCTGTGCAAAGTACACTCTTTTCAAATCACAAGTCATCTAGTGCCAACTCATAAGCAATGAGCCCTCTATTATGTACATTATGTCTACTAATCAGCGTAGGATTTCCTTGTCCAAATGGAACTCCGTGTATTCGCTAAGGATATATTAGATAACAAAACTCAAAATTAGGTTTACATGATAATAGAAACTTACTTTTTGTCCAAGTACGAGTGCAGCACGAGGTTTGGGATCCTTGCTGCATGTGGTGCTCATTCACATGGTGACTGGTATCCCAAGTTCTTTCCATGTTGGGGCTCTGCCAACCACTAGGTCTCCATCGCCACCTGGTGCTGCTTCTGGTAGCAGAAGAGAGGAGGGGAGTGCTTACTCCCACGGAGAGTCATCTCAAAGAAGCAGACACATACGAATTAGTACCTCTGTGCCAGCAGGAAAGTGATCAAACTCATCTCCTTTGCCCCC